ATATATGTAACTCCATATTGCATCTACACATTCACCAACTACCCAGAATGCTCCTGTGGTCACCAAATAAAGCCAGATGTCAAAGAGCATTTTCCTTACATTCTAAGAGTATTTCCTTAAACAGTAGCTATTCTACAATAAGTATAAATCTTATGTTTGAGCTTTCATAACTGAATTGTATAAACTCATATGTTGTCCATCATCTCTAAAATATTTTTAGCTTCAGTTGTTAATACAGGTTTTACATAAGATTTTTTTTAAAATAGCCATTTCTTTCCTGGCACTTATTCTTAGTGTTAAGTGATATCTGAGTCAAACTATATTTGTTGATACACTTGATTATTCCACATACAAGCCTAATTTAAACTAATGGCATATTTTATTTCCAAAGTTGAAGAGAAAATAAGAAGCTATTATGGGTCTACTCTTCATGAATTATGAAGGCATCAAATTGTTGGGAGCATTCTACAAAGAATTTATTTTTAAATCCTTTGCTGAATCACCCACTGTGTATATTAATTCAAAAAATACAGGCAGAGACTGAAAATAGAGTCTCCGCAGTCAATTAACTCTCAGCGAACTCATTTTTCACATGCCTTCTATATTGATACCAGACTAGAAAAAGGTATCACATTTATTTAATGGATGAAACATTATCCTTTTAGCAAATGTGGTTGTTTGCCTACTTTTAGATGGCTCATTCATTCTTTGGCATTTGGAGATGCTAATGGAGCAAATCTGTAGCTCTGGAGCCCCTGTTGGAATGCAGGAGGGCTGTCCTTGATGGACTACATTGGTTTCATCTACAAGTTCACAACCATTAATATTCTGAAGGATTAACCAGTTCAAACTACAAGTAAGTGGACAAGGTATGTGTATTTGTTATGGGCTGAAATTAATAGGTGGAAATATTCACCCCCAGTTCCTCAGAATGTGACTATACCAGAGGCAACATCTTTAAAGAGGTAATTAAGGTAAAATGAGGTTTTCTGAGGAATCTCCATACTGCTTTTCAGAAAGGTTGCACCAATTTGCAGTCCCACCAGCAATGTATGAGAGTGGCTTTCTTCCCACATCCTCGCCAACATTTATTGTTACTTAAATTCTTGATAATTGGCCTTCTGACTGGAGTGAGATGAAAGCTAAGTGCAGTTTTAATTTGCACTTCTCTAATGGCATTTGCAGGTAAATGGATGGAACTGAAGACTATCATGCCAAATGAAACAAGACAATCCCCAAAACCCAAAGGCCAAATGCTCTCTCTGATATTCAAATGCTAACTCACAATAGGCTGGGGGCACAGGTAGTCCACTGGACTGGACAGGGCAGAGTGGGGGTAAGGGAAGGGAGATGGGAATGGGAGACAATAGAATGAATCAATGAATCGGACATAATTTTCCTATGTTTATATATGAAAACATGACCAGTGTAACTTCAAATGATATAGAACCACAAGAATAAGTTATAGCCCATGTATATGTCAAAATACATTCTACTGGGCTAGGGCTGTAGCTCAGTAGTAGAGGGCCTGCCTCGCACATGTGAGGCACTGGGTCCCATCCTCAGCACCACATAAAAATAAATAAAGATATTGTGTTCATTGTCAACTAAAAAAAAAAAAGAAAAGTTAAAAAAAATACATTCTACTGTCATGTGTAAGTTAAAAAAAAGAAAGAAACTCTAAACCATGTATCAACACCAAGTAAATTTCACAAATATATTCTACAAAATGTTTCCAGTTAACATACATGTCTGTGCAAAGCACCCTCCAAAGAACTTAAAAGAAGAGCCTATAGAAGTGAGATTTCTAGAAAAGTTCTTTTGAAAATCATAAGTGCTCTTCATATCTCTTAAAGAAAAGCAATTCTAAAAAAGTTTCTTTTTTCAGATCAGTGTGTTACTATTTAGCAAATTATATTTTCATGCTACAAACAAGTTCAATGGGATCCAAGGGGCTGTACT